TTCTTCTGGCTCACAGGAAATTAAACAATGGCCAAAAAATAAAATGCTTTCTTGGAGATCATCTTTTTAGCATGATTAACTATATAATCGAGATCTTATAAAACTACATCCAATAACTAAATATGATACTTTAAATATATAGGATTTTCTGGGATTTAAGTGTGATCCTAATGTCCATATATAAAACCTTTTTTTAATAAAAAGATAAAAAAGGGAGTAGTTAATTTTATCCTCAATTACTAACTACACTTATTATTTTTTCTTAATTAACATTTTTATTTCATTTGAATTTTTAATCAATTATTTTATTCAATTTTTCATATGCAAAGTTTATATAAGGTTTAGAATAAGTATGAGATAGTTATTAAATCATTCATCAAATAGTCCATGAAGGGAAAATATTGACATAGTTTGATCTAATACAAACATATTTTCAGATAAAAGACGATAAATGAAAGATGACTTAAGTCAAAATACAGCATAAGGACTACTGAAAATTTTCTCATCAATTAAAGCAACTAGAACACTAGAAAATTTATTAGAAATAACATTTTTAGAACTCTGAAAATTAACCAATGTGCCAAACAATACAGGTGATGATTTGTTCAAGAAAATAGTAAAATGGCAGTAAGAAAAGTGAACTTTGCAGCATTTTAACTGAACTTATTTTCATCCCCCATTCAACAGCTCTGTAGTAGCCTTGAAAACTAATCGTCTGTAAAAACACTGAAAACCAGCAGCCTAACAGGAAATGGAGGGGGCAAAAACAGAGTTGAAGACCCTTTAAATCCTTATTACCATTACTAGAGAAGTTCACTATTTGACCTGTTGGTTCCCTGGAAAACCCACTTGCAGGGCTTTCTTATTTGACCTGACTCAGAGGTAAACCACTGAGAACATCCTGTTCCCCAGAAACATTTGTTGAAAACAATCAGAGGTAGTTGGTTAACATCCTGGCTGCNTTGCAGGGCTTTCTTATTTGACCTGACTCAGAGGTAAACCACTGAGAACATCCTGTTCCCCAGAAACATTTGTTGAAAACAATCAGAGGTAGTTGGTTAACATCCTGGCTGCCTGAGGTAGTAGATAAAAGTTGGGGGAAATGACTGGCTGTCCAAAAAGGTTAAAAGGAAAAGCTAAGGAATGAGACATCCATACAGACTTCTAAAAGCTCTGACATATTACTGGAAATCTAGAAAGCCATGCATATGTGTAGGACAGTGCATATGCTCAGAAAAGACCTATGGTAGCCCTAAGCTCTCACCTCTGGATGGCCTTGTGGTTCTGCACAAGCAGAAAGTAATTCTAAGGCAGAGTTGCTGAATGCCTGGCCAAGTGTCAGAGGCATGCCCAAACATGCACACACAGCCCCTTAGTAAAGACTGCAAGACTTATTGGTTCCAGGCAAGTAAGGATATGTCTGTACAATCACAACCTGCCCAATCAGCTAACAGAGCAGACACTTCATTGGTCACACAAAACAAAGAACACAGGCTTTACAGACTTATTTCAGAAAAGTCACTAAACAAGGAAATAGCACTAACAAACGACAACAACAACAAACCCTGGGTAAGAAAGCATTGGTTCTCAGCCACAGCATTGCTTTGAGTGTTAGGAGCTGTGTGTGCCGGCTGCTGATTTTTATGGTGTGTGGAG